CTTTTTTGTTACATCCATCACCTGACAACTCAACAGTGACTTTTCCAACCTTGAAGTTCTGGTTTATGTTTGTCCCTGGTGCACTGCAGGTGTCAAGGGAAGGCCATGCAGTCACTTACAGAAAGGAAACAAACTGCCCTGGGCTCATAAATAGCAGCTGCCCATCAGTCACCTTTCACAGCACCTTGTTGCCAGAGCATGAAAAACAAACACAAAGAACAGGGGAAAAAGGTTCTGCTGTACCAAAACACTTTTCTCAGTCTGCACATATACTGTCTGGGCGGGAGAGGTGGAACTGGGGAATGTTTCCAAAAAGGTTCTCCCAAAGTGACAAATGTTGCATTGAAAAGGGGTCATCTCAGTGTGGGAAGAGACAGTGGGTTCTGGACATGCACTGTAGAAGAAAGTACTTTGCACAGCAGTCCTGCAGGAAGGAGATAATGAGTATTGACTCTGTCAACAGAGTCAGGAGAAGATGTGTCCTGCAAATGAGTGAAAGATTTAGATTCATCCATTGAAACTGAAAACAAACAAAAGAACAAGGTGACTGTCTGAAGAGGTACTGACAGGGCTTGGAAAATTGATGAGTAGCAAATAAAACATTTATTACTAAACAGTGTTTTTCCAGCTCTGTGCAAAAGCCTTCACAACAAGCAGGGAAAGGAATGTGTCTTGCCAATATGAGACAGTATTTACAGTATCTTGAACTTGTCACTTGAAACTCTAAAGCCATGGTTATCAGTCTTTGCTAAGGATAATCCCCCTGAAGAGACTAAATATGTGTTATTTTTAAGCTGCTACTTCTTTGAGAGTACAGAAAGCCATAAGAACGAAAATCAAACCTAAAAATAAGTCTCTCTGCATCTACAAAAAATGCCACAATATGGAGAGGGGGACACGTTTTAATAACACTTAGCTGCCTAAATAAAAGCAGCAGCATCAGTAGGATTTCACAAGCCTACTGACATGTGTAAATGAGTTTAGAATTCTATCCTACCCTTCGTATTCATTTATCCCTAGTAATTCCTTATCAGCAGAGGTGCTGCAAAAGTGAACTTCCAAACATCAGCAAACCTTTTTAAAATCCTTACAGAGAAAATGCAATCAAGAAAATACAGCTTATTATTATATTTAACACACACACGATATCGATATTTAGTACTTGGGTTCAGCAGTGTGTAGCATCAATATCTGCGGTGTGCTGTCAACTTGCAGATTATCCACAAGAATTTTTACAAGCTTCTAATCAATGAAAGTTGGACCACAGGAGTATTTGATGACTTATTCAGTGCAGCCAGGGAAAGTAAAGCATTTACAGTCTCCTGTAGTAGGAAGTAAAACAGGAGTTCTTCCCAGGAAAACAAATGCTGAAATCATTAAGTGCTGGTTTTGCCTCTGCTGCCTGCTCCAAACTGAACACAAATATCAGACTGGCTTCTCTGCATCCCTTTGCTTCCATACAGGGTTAAAAAAAGAAAAAAGGCATATAACTAGAGTGGAAACAACAGGAAGTATTCAGATAGCAAGTGTATATATGGGTTGATAAATTGGAAAAGTGTCTTCAAGGATGTATTGTTAAAAAACACACATGTCTTCTCTTGTATGTGTAGATGTCTAGAAAATGCCAATTTCCCAATTTGCCAGTGGGAAACAACTTGGAGGCTGTTGCAGCTGTTATGCTTAGCACCCATTAGCAGTAATTATCACAGGATTGACTACACTGCTTATTACTCCAGAACCATTATATGGCCATAACTGAGTTAATTCTCCTAAAATGCAGGGAACTACCTCCTGGATTTATGATTACAAGCAAGGACTGTATTTTTATCATATCTTAATACAGAATACACCACACAGTGGGCTTTTATTCCTTAAAAAAAATAAATAAAAGGAAACAAAAATAAGATATTGCAGTAGAGAAATCCATCAGTTTGTTTTCTGTTGCCACTCCTGACCCACACACCCACTCCCCTGGCCCCTACATCTTGAGCAGAGAGGAAAGCAGTAAGGCAGATAAACCTTTTCTTTCCTGCTCTTTCCATGTATAGTCTATGTATGCACCTAAAAATGAATAAAAGAGCAACAAAATAAGTATTAGAGCTTGCTCCTCTAATGAGAGGAGCCTCTATTAGAGGTTGAAAATGAAAGGTGCCTCCATTAAAGGGTTTCCTTTACTATTTAACGTGTGTCTCTACAATAATTACAGACAGCTGATAAATAGCCATTTTACAATGGTTTGTGAATGTGCTGATACTGCTATGTATAATCACTCCATACACTCCACACTGTGTTAATTATTTCTCCCCTACGTTGTTTTCCCCCTTAATTTAGTCTTAAAAATTTCCTTCTACAGTGCAGCCTTTATCGTGCAGCTCTTCCAATGTATTACCTTCTTCATTGCTAGTTGAAATATTATTGATGCTTTTTTTTGGCACTTCCTTTGCTGGGAAAAGATGTCTTGTTTGGGACAATTTCAAAAGCCATCCATTACAGGTGAAAAACCCATCTGGGATGACAGTGCTGCAATTTCTTTCACCTGCTTCCAGGGAAGGCAGAAAACAATTCTGCAGAGCTGACAGGACAGGGAGCCAGACCCTCATCAGCATAAATCAGAGAGGTTTTGCTGAAGATGAGGGAGGTATTTTTCATGTAAGGAGCTGGCCAAGTGTACTTTCTGCAGCAGTGCTGGAGTGGCACCAAACACTGACCGCAGGCATTAAGGAACCACAACTGCAATAGTGCTTTTTATTATTGTTTTGATTTAGCTAGGGTTTCGTGATATTACCTTAAACCTAGTTCCCATGGCAAGAACCACCCATAGGCTGTTACTCTCTGTGACATCCAAGAGCTGGAGCCTGGGAACATCGGTAGATAAGTGTATTCATCACTCAGATGACTGAGCAAACACATAACCTTTTAATTATTGTTCTGCTTGTTCTCATGTTTACTGTTAGCTCTGCATCTCTCAGTTGCTGCATACTTGCCTTTGAATACCCTTTCTGGGAAGGGAGTGATTTGCATTAGAGCTTCCTGGAGAACTGGCAAAAGCACCTTTCACCAGCGTGTTCAGGTGTTCAGCGATTTGGGATAGCGGGTTTTTTGCTTCTTACCGATAATTACAGATGTGTCAAATTAAAAGATGGGCCATACTGAGGCCTTATCTCTGAGGCCTCTGACAAAAAGACCTCATTCTTATTTTATTCTACCTGGATTAAAAGTTGGGCTTCACTGCCAGACCTACAGTCAAAAACTTTGGTGCTTGAACAGTGTAAAGCATTACCATCTGTAATCTCTGTGTCACCCTCCTTTGTCCCTAACTGAAAGGACAAACTACGAGACAGCAGGCCAGTAAGAAATTGTGATGTGGAGAGGCAAGTTTTGCCTTGAGGTTGAATTTATGCAGTTTCCATATAAAAGAAACCCTTGTGCCAAAACTCTGACACACTTCTACCCCAGAGCCACTTTGCAATGGCTTTCTTAAAGTTTCCAGGCTGCAGTTTCTTTAGAAATTGCTTTTACACCTCCATTAGACCCTTCAACACCCTTGAAGTGTTTATTCACTGGTACAAAAAATTATCATCTTGAAAGTTCTGCTGGGTGTCCTTTGGGACAAGGAGGTTGATTTTGGCAGAGGATCCCCAAAAAAGAGTCCATTGCCAGTGCCAGCATAGAAAAGTTCACACTATGCTAGATTGCTGAAGCTCTTTTCTTGTAAAAAAAACCATGAATGCTATCTCATACCATTGTATTCTAAAGAGCAGAAGTAAGCAAACCAGAAATCAAATATGCAAACCAGAAGAGAGAAATACAGCTCACAGTCACACAACCAAAGCGCACAGAGGGACTTCCAAGCCCTCATCTTTAGTGGACTCATCAGTTATGAACTCTGTGGCTTAAAATTACTTTAGAACAAGATGTCACAAATATTCTGTGATGTACCTTTGCACTAATTTGTTTCTTTTTCCAACGTATGGAAATACTCATAATAAAGCACAATCCCCACCCCCAACCCGTGGAGCAGATGAACACAAGGAACACAACAGGTCCAGGGTAGCACCATCACAAAACAGCAGGTGACAGACAACTCTTCCCAAACTCTGCTCCTCTTTTTTTTTTTTTAATTTACTTGGCGAGTAACATTGTTTAATAGAAAGACATAACTGGATTTTATATTCCTATGTAAATACTTCCATAGTAATCTGTGGCCAGTAATTTTTCAAAAGGGTTTTTAGTGATTTATAAACTTAGATATGAAGGCCTGACAATAAAGTTACTACATGTATACCTCACCCACACATTGCAGTGCAGGTATTAGTGGTACAGATTTCTGCTCTACACACTTTCTTGGTGTTCAAACATGATTAATGCCAATAAGACAAATTAATTAAAGGCTTCCTATCCTACATGAAAAGGGTGGGTTGGCAGAAAAAGCTGTGAGTGTTCCTGTTTTCCATAGTTGCAGTCAGAGTTCCTAACAAAGACAGTTTCAGTGTTGTTAATGTAGGGAGTGGAGGGGTGCCATGTTTGTGCTACTTATTTCATATTTTCTCCATGACCCTCCAGCAAGGGTAAAGCACAAAAAAGGAAAGTTCACAATCAATTCCCTGAAAATATGAACACTCATACAACAGTAGCTCACTGCTGATGAAGGACTTGCTTTACAGTTCATTGACTACATTCTATCAAGCAGTACTTGCTTTTACAATTGCAAAGACACTGCAAACACCGTATTCTTGTACATGTTTAACAGTCCACCCCATTAGGGGAATGGCTCAAAATCCCTGTTATTTGGCTGATTCTCTTCCTAGGACAGATCCTTTGCTCTGACTCATCACCAAGCAGCACAGAAAGGCTTTGCTGTGAACTCTATCCATAATATTCTGCATTGTTTCACCACTCTGTATTCAGTCGGACCACATTTCCACATGAGAAAACAAAGCATCTGCTTCAGCACACTAACAATGTCCTGTCTTAGCTTTCCCTTTTGATTTTATTCACAGACACTGCAGATGGGGATAAAGCATTTCTCAGGGCTCTTTGTGATGCTATGCGTTGGCTTTGGTTTGTCCATTCTCACCACTATTGGGGAACACATAGTGTACAGACTGGTCCTGCCACGAATCAAGAAGAAATCCAAGATGAAGTACTGGCTCCATACCAGTCAGGTATGTGTTCTGACAGGACTCTGTGAAAGTTGTGTGGCTGACTAAGAAAGCCTGGACAAGAACTAGGTATGAAATGTTGTAAGAGCACTGATGGCATCTGTATGGTGACAGCAGCTTCTGGAACTTGAAGATGCTGACCTAAGGATGGAATGGGAAGCACAGAGGAAATTATTTAAATATTCAGTTGCAAAGCTTACAGAGAGATCCTTCTATTTGCGCTTGTAGCCTCATAGCTGAGCTCTTTTAGATGATGGAAGCAACAGTGTTGTTATCCTCAGCTGGCAAACCAGAACATTTTATCTTGCTCTTACAGGTTCCCAAACCTGTGAGGCATGCAGGAAATGCTGGGTAACCTCCCTCATTATTCTAGAGAAACTATTGAGACAGAATTGCTCTGGGTGTTTGCTCTAAAGGAAGAAGTTACTTTACAGCAAAAGGCACAAAAGGGAAGAACTTCCATTGCTTTAAAGCAGCACAGTGGAAGAAATCTTTTAAAACTAATTTCACACCAAGGATTTTTCCCAAACTATTAATCAACCTTTCAGCTTACCCTTCTTTGGGAAAGTACAGGAAAATAAATCTGTTGTAATGACAAAGCACAGACAATTGCTTGTATCCTTCAATGTGCAAAATAATTTATCCTCAAGTCCATCAGACAAAGCCCAAATTACCTATTTTTGGAGCCATTTTTAATCTTACTTTTACTAATTTATACTCCTCTTTTTCCTCTAGAGATTACATCGTGCTCTGAACAGTTCATTTATTGAGGAAAAACATCAGCCTAAGAAAAAACGAGTAGAAAAGAGGTAGGAAGTTCTCCATGCCTTAAAACACAAACTATAAAAATTACTTTGAAATTAAATGCTTTCTGTTTGGACATATAGTTATGCCCAAAGGTAATAGAATTAAAAAAAAAAAAAAAAGGAAACAAGATAGAAGTGACGAATGTGGGACGCAGAAATTAATTATTTTTTCTAGTATTAAATCTAGAAATCTTGTTCTTTCATGATTTTGTATACAGCTAATAAAAACCTCCCATTCCAAAGAGAGGCTTTGCAGTTGAAGTCCACTGCCCTTGTGTTTAGGGAATGAAGTTTAGGGAATGAATGACTCCTGTGCCAAAGCACTGGCCGGTAACCAGGGCTCTGAGAGGCAGAGCCTTTAGATGGAAAGACAGATCAGGTACTCACATGCCTGAAACTCCTTCAGCTCTCCTCTTTTGTAGAATGAGAAATAAGAAAGGTGAGGAGAGGCAAATGCAGTCCTTTGAAAAAATATTGTCTAACAAGTCCTGAGAGAGAAAAAAGTTGGTAACAACTTGGCCTTGTTTTCATAGCATGTGTCTTCTGCAGAGGAGAAAATGGGATGTACAGGAACATCCTGGAACACAAAGCATTGCATGGAACTGTGCACATGCTCAGCAACTCAACCCTACTGGTGCACTTTGTAAGGACACAGACAGCAGCACTGCTGTTCTACAGAGAAGTTCAGGCGCAGAGTATAGAATACAAAAAGTATTTCAGAAAATTACTGGATGTTTGGCCTGACTGAAACTTACAGATGTTAATGTATGTTGTGTTTCTTTGAAATTCCTCTGCTAAAGGCAGCAAATATAAATGAGTAAGCATCTCTAAGCTCCTAGGCTGCCTTTATATACACAAGTGTCTAAAAATGCCTGCAATTGATCTCCTCTGTTCATCTTATCAAAGAACACCATGTATGGAGCCTCCTTGCACACAGCCACTCCTGGCTTTTGATCTGTGTGCAGCAGAAGAGGCCATGAATGCTGCAAAATGTTTCCTCATGCTGCACCCTCCTTGCTGGATGGAACAGGAGGAGATGGTGCATAAGCCCCCCAGACAATGGCTTAGAAAAAGATCCATGCACATAATCTTCCAACTTGGGAGAGTGAAGATGTACAGCAGTCCAAAACCTTCTGCCCACACAGCAGTCAGCCCCGGCTGTGTGCATGCACACCCACCCATTGTCCTTGCTCTTCTCAGCATCTTGGGGCTGCTGTTTGCACAGAACTGGGATGAATTTAACTCAACAGAGCCACGAGTGGGCTGTCCAGCTTGTCATGAACACTCATGAGGCAAGGCACTGACGCCTTGTGAAGGCTGACCTAGAACAGAGACTAGATGGAGCTAAAGAATAAAGTAGGTATTTATTAAGAGGCCTCAAATAGATCCACCTTGGGCAGCACAACCCAAAATGGCCACAAAAATGGATGACAGGTCACAGGGTCTCACACTTTTATAAGTTTTGGTCCACTAGCATATTGGAGCTAATTGTCCAATTACAGCTTTAGCCTATGAAGTCCCATCCTTCTTGGTTTTCTCTCTTTGGTCTACCGTTATTTATGCTCTTGGGCCTGAGATCTGGATCAGCTGTCCTTGGTCCCCAGCTAGAAAAGGAATTGTTTTGTTTACATATTCTGTGAAGCAAGCTTACTATCCTCTAATATGAAGCATAGACTTACACACTAAAGCAGAATAGAATCTGAAAAAACATAAAAGCTAAAACCTGAGGCATCAGCGCAACACAGAGCTCTCAAATCACATTATCACATGTGCTTTCATTCCTGCTGGGTCCTGAGGAACTCTTAGAAGCACCAAAGATACAGAAAAGAGGTGGGAAAAATTGGCATCATGCTACTGCTGGTATCCTCATGGCAGAAAATCTGTTGGGTTTCTTAAGGTCATCAAAAGCTACAAAAGCTGCTCAGCATCGGAAACCCAGTTGTGAATGGTTTTACTGACCTGGTGAAACTGGAGTGCTAACTATGGACTCTGGCAATTGTTAAAATCAACTGCCCAGACCCAGAATGAACCTGCAGGGCTTGGATAAATATCATTGGTGTGCGTCTCCCAGAGCACAAGCAGCTCCCCAACAAGACTTCAAGGCTGAAGGAGAAAGCTTCCCCCTCCAGCTCTCCACAGCAGCTCTAGGAAGTCTCTTTCCTTCTCCATGAGAGCAAATGCCAGGTCAGGGCAGAGTAGTTACACGCTAAGCACTAACACTGTACTAAACTTGCACATTGAAACCACAAAAGCTTTCAGAGGCTTTGAAGGACTCAGATTTTCCTGAGCTGCAGCTGAGTAATTTCATAACGGAAAAAAAGTTTTGGGGAGGATTACATTCATTACATAGCCTCTGCTATGGTTAAATCACAAAAATTTGGTTATTTACATTCATGATTTGTGCTTTGCAAGAAAACATAATTCCAGGGATAAAAGAATAATATTTCTATGTAACATGTAACAGCAGACAAGGGAAGTCTGCACACACACAAGAGCGGGCTCTGATGTGGTGTTAACTCTCCTCTTTCTATTCAGGGCCCATGTGGGGAATAGCCAGCAAGCGGTGTGGAACACAGCCAGCCTGAGCAACTGCCACCGAAAAAAATACATCTGCACTGATGAGGGGCAAAATGAGGTGACAATCCATCAGCACCAGGACATCTCCCTGCCACAGGGGAGGAGAGAGACTCCGCCTTCCTTAACCACCAACGGGAAAGCAGAGTCCCTCAACACTGCGAGGACCTCAGTGCTGCAAGAGCTGACAGAGCTGGAGAAGCAGATCGAAATCATCAAGCAGGAGCTGCAACTTGCCATGGACAGGAAATCAGAGCTGGAAGAGTATGCACAGACAAACAGAACTGCAGAGCCCTAGGCCAGCATATCTGTGCCCTTCCCCTTTTCTTCCTTTCTCCCCTTCCTGTGTAAAATTTGTAACACACTTTTGTAATGCCAGAAAGGGGTGCAAAAATAAACCAGGCAATAAGCTGTTCCGGAGAGCAGAATTGCAGCAGCCCACAGCCACTGCCACCCTCTTGAGTTCCCCTCCTTTCACAGCAAGTTTCTTATTCTCATGGAAAACACCAGCCATTCCCAAGGGACTGGAGAGACAAGGAGCATCCCAATGAGAGTTCCTCGTTTCTCCACTTGACAATACAGTGAGGTTTCACTTTTTTAGCCCTTTCTGTGCATTAATTAAAAAAAAAAAAAGATACAGAAAAAAAGGTTTAAACTGTTCACTGGCGTATGTCCCTTTGTTGGTACATTTTTTGTTGTGTTCTGTGTGGGTCTAGTCTCTGTTCATGTGAAGGCTCCTCATGGATGCCTCTTTACGGCAGGTGCTGTTCTGTGTTGGTAGTCCCTTCCCTCCTGGCACAGGCTCACAAGACAAATTCCTAATGTCAAACCCACCACACACCATTCCCTCAGCTCTGTCAGCACAAATTGGAGGTGTGGCTGCTCCGAGCCTGTGGTGAAGGAACTCACCCAGCTTAAAATAACTTGGCAAAAACCAAACCACCAGTTCTGTCTGCGTGTGAGCCTAGGCTGGGCTTCCGCTCCCTCCCAGGGAGAAGCTGTGCAAATACTGCACTGACAGGTGAAGGGATGGATTCACAGTGGCACAGGAGAAGGATGAGAAGGGAGAGGGGGCACTACTGTAAATCAGTATTTACCTCAAAAAGTGAAATATTTGCTAGCGTGAAACTACTCCCTTAATATTGTCTGTCTTACGATGACAATAAGGTCCTTTCTCAAAGATGAGCTGACTAAAGGGGCTCTGGACCATGAGTTATTCAGATATCAAAGTCCCATCAATACCAAAAGCAGTCACCAAAACCACTCTGTGGATGAAGAATGAGAATTGTGGTTTCTGAGGCAATGTACTGAATGGAGCTTACTCCCTTCTGGGTGATGAGGGGAAGGAAGGGTAAGCTGTTCAGCATCTGAATAAACACTGCATCAACCTAACTGACTGTGTTTTTTAAATAGGGTTTCTACCAATTTTTAAAAACCATTTCCCAACACATTCTGTATTACAGAGAAAAAGAAAGTTTGTAACATTGACTCTTAACTCTGGTCTCCCAGATAAGTCACCAAAGTAATTTTTACCCTCCCTGTATCTCCAGTCACCTGCAGAAATGTTGCCCGGGGTGTTCTTGTTAGGTGAAGTTCAAAGGCTGCAGGTAGATTGAGGAAGACATTCTACCTATTTGCATCTCTAACCTTTGAAAAGTCCTTGTATATTAAAACCTCTGTGTCAGTGCTAAAAGCTGATCACAGTGAGACCTGGACTAATTGGCCTCAAGACCTGATTGTCTGTTCCCTACTGAGGACTTGTTCTCTGCTTTTGTGTGTCTGCTCCTTCCAATGCAGTAACAAAGGGGAGAGAAATTAGGACATAAAACTGGGAAGTGGGATCCACAGGCCTGCACCTTGGTGGGTCTAATAGATCTGGGATGTCCCCACATTCCTGACAAACTCGATGGACCCTTACCCGTTCAGGTTACTTTTGTTGCCTTCCCTTCCCCTCCCTCCCTCCCCCCTTTAGATAATCAAATTTCTAGAAAGAGCTTTTTCTTTGTGTAGCAGCTGGTACCTCATGACCTCCAACATCACTTGTTTAGAACAGATGAATATTGCTCTTTTCATTAAAACATTAGGAAAGAAGTATTTCAGTCCAATTTTGTAAGTACTTTTATCAAGGCTTTTATGCCCTTATCTCTACACACATGAGCCCAGAAGCAGATTTTTAAAAAAACCTGAAAATCTTAATCATATCTTAAACAAAAATGTTTTGCACACCAAATCCTTCAACAAATCTGACTTCATTTAAAAGCAAAAATATAAATAGAAAAATGTCAACCACCTAGTAACTACTGTTAAGCAAGTGTTATTTCTGGTGGTTGTCTGAGAGGCTTCTTCCGTATCAAATGCAGATTAGGGATTGCTCTGAACGACTGCACCACCAACTGTGCCTTTTCAGAAAAGACTGAAATTACTGCTGCCCAACAGAGACATATTTTGGCATGTTATTTTCCTGTTCAGCTACTGCTCCAGCCTGATCCCCTGGGGACAGGAGATTGCTGTGGGTTTCTGTGAGAAGGGGAGTAGCACAGGCATACCAGTGCCTGCAGACTGTGGCAGAGGGGAGGATCTGCTGTGACAGAAGATGCACGGGAGACTGGAGACGAGGCTTTTCTTTCTTGTCTAAGACACTAAATTTACAGAATGTTTTCATAAAGAATACCATCACTGCTTTACTTTTTTACCCCAATACTTACTAGTCCTGATAAATTTCAATTATTTCCATGCATTCCGTTTCTCAGTGGTTTAATTAAAAGCACAGAGAAACCCAGTTATTTCAGAAATGAGCTTGAAATAAGCTATTACTTTAGAACAAAACCAACACATTTTTCTTGCTAAGGGAGGACAGGAGTTTCCAAAACTTCTCTGTGAAACGAATGCAGATTGTTTGAAGTATCCATTTCCTGCCAGGTGCAGAGGGACAACAACTTGGGCAGACTGCACACAAGGCTCATTTCAGTAAAGGTGATACAAGAGAGAGTGGGGATGGACAGAGGGGCTTTGTAGCTCTGCTGGGGCTGTTCAGTTCAGGTTGCTGTTCACAGCTGTAAAAGGAACTCTTGCTGCTGTAGATGCAGACAAGTCCTGGTTGTGATGAAGAAGCATTTGTACCCCAAAATCTACCAGCAGGTTACTACACCATTCTTCAGCCAACTTGCTGCCAGAACTTATAATCCTGGGAGCAACTTCCGGGGAAAGGGGAGTGGGTTCTACTCTCATCCCTTCTAACAGCACTTACACCATGGCAGGAACTCTCAGCAGCCCAGGCACCCCTTGGAAAGGCAGGATGCCATGTTCCTTCTCACTTTTCAGGATTCTTTATCATTTACAAGGCTTTACTCTTATATTCTGAATGTTTTCACCAATATAATGAATAGTGTAAGAGCCTTTGATGAACTTTCACTTTGCATCTGCAAAGGTATTTCCTGCAGGGAGGGGATGGAGGAAGGCAGGAGATTCCACGCTTGAGGGAAGGGACACCCATGAGACAAACCTCTGACAGGTGCACCTTCCATGCAAATTAAGTTTACATGGAAAACACTACACCCCAGGAAGAAATGCCACAAATCAACAACTTCCCATTCTGATTTTAGAAGCAGACTTCAAATGCAGTCTCCAGCCACAGGGAGCACTGAGACTCCAAGCCGTACAACATTCCTGCCAAAATTTCAAACAGCCATGACAAAATGGTTGCAGAAATAATGCAGCATCCTGGCCCTCCCGCTGTGTCAGGAATAAGCTGCTTGGGATAATTGGGATACAGCCAAAAGGACAAAAGTTGATATAGCTGAGCATATTTTGAAAGGAGAGGATGGAAGAAATTAAGTGTCTCTAAAGCTTGTGAGAAATCTTTCCAAGAACTGGACAAAAGATGGGAGAACAGACAGACAGTACCAGAGGCAGGAGAACCAGAAAAATAAACCAAACAATAACTTTAATAAGAATTTGTACATAACAAGGTTAATCTTTGTGGTAAAGCTGTAGCAAAGGAACCACTAAAAGTCCTTTTCTGAGAAGGATAATGACAGCAATGCCTCAGCCTAGGAGACTGTGAGCACATCAACCAGGGCTCATCAATGGAATGCTATTTTCTAAGGGTCTCCAAGATCTCTCCTTTCTCCTCTTCTGGATATTTAGCTGTGTTTGTTCAGGGCTAGGGAGGATTGTTTCCTAGTGTACCAGCCCTCAGGGGTTCTTGCCTGGGCTCAGGAAGATATACAGGTACCTAAGGAGCTGCTCCATTGAGTCTACATATTAATTTCCTTGGCGGGACTTAATTAGCATCCAAAGCAGAGCCCTTAAATGAAGCTCTTACTAATCTCTGCTACAGCTCAGCTTCCATCCCACCAAAGCAGCACTTCAGCTGCACGTTCCCACCTTGGCAGTGTGAAAGTGAGGGATGGGAAATTTCCTCTCAGGCACAAAGAACACACAAAAACTGAGGGCAAGACCAAAGGGACAGGGCCAAGAAAGGAAGCAAGATCCAGAGTGTGTTTCTTCTGAGACCCCGAAGGCACCTCCCAGGAGACACTGCAGCTCTGGCAGCAGAAGCTGAGAGGGAGGGAGGGAGGCTGGCTCAGCACCAGCAGGGGCTCTGAGAGGCCTCAGCCGATGTAGATCCTGTGGAAGTCGTTGGCCCCGAAGGCCGCGTTGCACTTGGGGCACTTGCGCTGCCGGGTGTCGTAGCGCGTCTTCACACACTCGAAGCAGAAGACGTGGAAGCACTTGGTGAGCACCGCGTCCTTCTTGCGCATGTTGCAGCAGGGGCACGTCAGGCGGGCCTGCAACACACACACACAGAGCTGTGAGGGGCCCTGCAGCCCAGCTGCTGTGCTCAGAGATGTCTCAACATGAAGGTCCTTCAATTTCTCAGAAGCACAGTGTGGTTTCTTCAGTACAGGTAACAGATGTCAGATACTGGAAGTGTGCCTACACACCTTCTGACTAAAGTAAAAAGGGAAGCCGAGGGACACAGATACTCACCTTGTAATCCTTGATTTCCTCCATCAGGATCTCATCACAGTTGGGAACCATGTCAGGCTTCTTTGTGGTCTCCAGCTTCCTGCGCAACCTAGAAATATCTTCCTACATAAAAACAAGAGACCAAGTGAAGGAGCAGTACATTCTCTGTCAGCTTTTTCAGGGACCAAAGAGAATGTGCACCTGGCTAAGTCATGCCACCATAGTTTCATTCCCTATAATCCAAGAGACAACATGATCATCTGATGACACAAGTATTGTCAGTTATCAGGGGACAAAATCTGAAAGAGCAAAGACCTGATGAAGCCAAAATCAAAGTGAAACTGGACACCAAAAGCAGTTCAGCTGAAACCCTCTGCAAGCTCAATGTACAAGAAGGACACCAAAGGACACAGATCTGAAGGATTGTGCACAGGATATTTATACCTCAGCCCTTTTGAAGTTGAACATCTCTTTCTCTCTAGTTACTCTGTTTTCCACAATCTCCTCCTGAAAATCATGTAACTTCTTCTGAGCCAGTTCTAGCTGGGCCTTCAGATCATCTGCAAGCTGGGCTGCATCCATGGCCTGAGAAAGAAAACCAGTATATAAGGACCAAACATAGATCAGCTCTAGTGATTTCCAGTTCCTTGTTATTATCTTATTATCAACAAATTCTAATAATTTAGCTTCTAGATTCCTTTGGGCAGAGCCAAACCATGGCACACTGCAAAGCACATCACTTAGAAAAACACTAATGATCATCCAAATCTCTTCTTAAAGTATTTTCAGCCTTCTAGCTTCCACATTTTCTCTATTAAAGTGTTCAGAGGCAGTTCTGTAGCTGAACTAGACAGAACTGCAAGATACCTATTTCTAACAATCTTCTCTCTTCACTAGCTCTCTTCTAACTTTATAACTAAATGCCTTAATACCACAAATTGTCATATTAAGCACAGCCAACTGCTGAATGCTCCCCAGCTCCTCTTCACAGTGATATTCCTGCTTTCCTTTCTGCCTGTTTTAATGTAATTTCTGCATTTCTATTAACACTTAACAAAGGCAGCAACAGCTATAAAACTTATTTTAATGGTAACACACCTACTTTACTGATCTTAGGCATTTGTTGAAAGTGCTCACATTTCCCAGTTGTATTTCCTTTCCTTATCCCATCCTTGCTACAAAAGCTTTGACCCCAGTTAACTTCATCTGGCTGCTGTCTCTTTCTTTATCATAGATTACACAGCAAAACATATGACCTGCTTCTCCTTATCAAAGCAAAACATCAGTCTCCAGTACTTGAATCATAATTCTCTCCAGGACTCCTCAGCCTTCTGACACACTCATTCAAAACCAGGGAATACCAGGCTCTGTAATGCCAGTGAGAGCTCAGAGCCTCCCACAAGGCAGCAGCTCCACCCCACAACCCAAGAGGAAACGAAGGCATCACTCACCTTGCGTTTGTTCATCTCCAGGGCCTGTGTTCGCAGACCCAGCTCCTTCTCTCCTGTTCCAATGCTGTTCTGCAGTAAGTGTTCCTTCTCCTCCAGCTTACGTACAACCTGCAGCTGGGCATCCACCTTGGAAAGGGAGACAGAGGGAACAGAAGGAATGAATGCATGCTCTGTGGGTCTTCAGAGCTGTCATTCAAGCTGCAGGGGTAAAACTACTCCTGCTTCCCCATCACCAGGGAGCACAACTTCAGCTTGCCTTTTTCTCCCTGAACAGCTGTGCCTGTATCCAGAGAGCTGTACCCAGAACTCTCTAGTCAACACTTTAAAAATTAGCAGTGAAATATTTGCAACAAAGATGTCTTAATTTTTGGACAGTGGCTTAAAGACTTGCTGTAAGGCAGTGAACAGTTCCAGTGGTACCAAGGATGACAGGATACAGAGCCGCAGAACAGCCTGGATTGGAAGGGACCTTAAAGATCACCTAGTCTCAGCCTCCCTGGAATAACTTCCACTAGGGCACGTTTCTCAAAGCCCCATCCAAGCCTGGCCTTGAACACTTCCAGGGATGGGGCATTCACAACTTCTTTGGGCAACCTCCAGCAGTGCCTCACCACCCTCCGAATGAAGAATTTCATTCTAACATCTAATACAAGCCTGCCCTCTTTCAGTTTAAAACCACTGCCTCTTGTCCTGTAATTGTATACTCATATAAAAAGTTCCTCTCCCTCATTTTTCTAAGCCCTCTTCAGGTACTGGAACGCTGCAGTGAAGTCTCCCCCTGAGTCTTCTCTGTGCTGAACAGGCCCAGCTCTCTCAGCCTGTTCTTGTAGCAGAGGTGCTCATTTCTTCTTATCATCTTTATAGGTTCCTGTGGACTCCCTCCAAGAGGTCCATGTGTCTTTCCTGTGCTGAGGACCCCAGAGCTGGATGCAGCACTGCAGCTGGAGTCTCACAAGGGCAGGGCAGAAGGGCAGAATCCCCTCCCTCAGCCTGCTGCCCAGGATGCAGCTGCTTTGGATGCAGCCCAGGATGCAGCTGGCTTTCAGGGTTCCCAGTGTGCCCTGCTGGGTCAGGTCCAGCCTCTCATCCACCAGAATCCACAAGTCCTTCTCTGCTCAGTGACTTCCTCTCCCAGCCTGTGCCCATGTCTGAGGTAGTTCAGACTGAACCATGGTGTCCAACTCCTCCTGCTTGTTACCAATATATACAGCTATAGGTAAATATACAGGCAGAAGTACTATTCCAACAGGAAAAGGACTTCCCACTTTTCCTCACCCATCTGCTCTCCATAGCAGTGAACCTGTAGGACATTGTAATGCTCATACAGCAGCCTCAGTTTCCTACAATGACAGGCCCCTTTAAAGCCTGATGCATTCCTAGGCTGGTGAGAGGAACACTCCATCCTGGACTGATTCTGGTGAGGACAGCTAATTCTCTTCAGAGCAGCTCACATGCTGCTATGTTTTGCATTTTGGAGAAGAAGTAACACAGCACTGTTTTAGCTGCTGCTGAGCAGTACTTACACAGCACCAAGACCTTCTGTGTCTCATGCTGCCCACCAGCAGGTGGGCCAAGGGTGCCCAGGAAGCTGGGATGCCACACAGCCAGGCCAGCTGATCCAGCTGGCCCAAGGGGTGTTCCACACCCTACAATGCTGTGCTCAGCAATAACAGCTGGTGGAAAGGAGGCAGTAGGAGCATGTTCAGAGCTGCAGCATTTATCGAATAACAATAAGGCCTGATGAAGCCCTGCCTTCCTGGAGATGACCAAATCCCTGCCTGACCCAGGAAGTAACCAATTAATTAATTTATTGTTTCACTTGTATGGACATCTTTGCTTAACTGTTAAACTCCCTTTATTCAGCTCACTTGTTTTCTCACTATGTCCCTTCTGGTTCTTTCCCCTTTCCCTCAGTAGGGGAGAGAGCAAACTCTCTGCCCCACTTGTGTGCAGCTGCCTAAAGAGATAACCCACACCTCCATCTTCCCCAGCAGCTCTCTTGTCCTCTCTCCTTTTTCCCTATTACCTGTGTTTTCAGTGTCAAAACTTGGTCTGCTAGCTCCTCCTTTTCCTCTTTCAGCAGCTTATGGATCTGGTTGGACTTGATACGTTCTGACATCAGCTTGAAGTTGGCATCATCCTTCTCCCGCAGCTGCTGCATCAGGCGGATGTTCTGCTCTTGCATGTCTTCAAAGGCTTGGCCTGTGACATCCATCTCTGACAGCAGGGCCTCCTCCTCCTGCAAAAGAATCACAGGCTCTGCCCAAACTGTGCCCTGGACCCCCTATAGTGAGCCTGAACATTTTATTCAGAGACACCAAACCTAGTGAAGATGACGGAAGGTTCTTGGTGTCAGGGAACACCATTATTCCAGCAAGCAGAAAAATGTATTCCTGCAAGTCTGCACCACAGCAGAAATACTCTGAATTTGAAGGTGCAGAGAAACGATGATCACCTGTCACTTGTCTGGCAGAATCAGGTTTGACACAGTCATTGCCAGAGCTGGGCAGAAAACAACACCCAATTCCCAGCAGCTGAACACCTGTCAGATACATCAGACCAAAAATTCTACATTTGGGCAGCTTGGCAGCCTCCAACAACAGGCTGCCAAGCTCCTTAAACTCACTTTGGCCACTTCAGCATTGACAAGGTAGAGCAGTTCTGTTCTACAATAACAAGAATCCAAATTCTAAGAAAGTACATGCCAATTAATTGGCTTGCCTCTACCTTGCTGAGGTCGTCCTGCTCTTTCATTGGATTGAGCCTATTTTAGCAGAAGGTATGTACACTTCCATGCAAAATATTCACTAGATGAGCTGAGGAGGTAATAACTCTTAAAAAGAAATTGTAATCTTTTCCCCTAATGGCTGATAAAGCAAATTCTCCTCTGTATGCTTCATCAAGGCCACATGTTTAACTGTTTATTTAATGTTTAATTGTTATTAAACATTTCCCACCATGGCCTGCCTGTGATATCCCAAAGCTGAGGGTGCAGAGATTATTTTGTTGGTGGTTCTTTTGCTTGCTCAGTTTTCTTCCCCTTTGGTAAACAAGCACTAAACTCCCATTTCTGGCCCATACAGACATAAATTCCTTCTCTCTTCCTGGATGTAACCTGAAGGCAGCTCCTTCAGTTGCCCTAGCCAAAAGAGAACTCATCAGGAATTTCTCACCTGCTTAGCCATGGCAAGCTTCTTCTGTAAATATTCAATCTGTTCCTCCACTGCTCGGATCTTGCGGAGGGCATCCTCATCAGCCATCTTCTTACTCTCCTTTTTTTCCTTGTCTTCCAATTCTTTCACCCTCTGCCTCAGTTCTTCAAGCTACAAAAAACAACCAGAAATGACACTAAACACAAGGATATGCCCTGAGCATTGTTAAGAGTCTGTTTTCTCCAAAATTCTGTGAAACACTCAAACTGCTTTCAAAGCATGGCAAAAAACTCCAGGTTGTTTTGACAGAGTATTACAGGCAGATGTACCATTGAGATGGGCATTAAGCCCAAGATCTTGACTTCCACACCTTTGAAAATTTCACAGCATCTTTTATAAGAGTAGGAACATCAGTCTCCTGCAATTGTACACGTATGGATATGTGCTCAGAGGGCATCTGCTCCTTTAAGGCCATCTGGTCAAGGACCTTCTTCCATACAAGAAGGAGATAACAGGAAAAGGAGGAGGTAAAATAAAACATACATAAAACTTGGCGGACAAATGGTAAGGGAGGCAGTGATAAGAATGAAACTTGGTCAGTCACACTAGCTGATGAGAGCACATAAGAGTGTGAAAATGTTTACTCCATCAACATTATCTGAGTGTGGGAGAAGGAGAAAACCCAAACCAAAATATACAGACACAAACCTGACAAAACAAACACAGAGACAAAGAGAGGAAGCAAAACTCTCCAGTCACAACAGCTGATAAGCTTCCAGGAAACTACAGGAACTACCTCCAGGGACATCAGCTTGGATTTTGTAACTGATGACACTGTAAAGCAGGAATGGCTCCTGAACTGAGCCGGCTGTGGCAATCAAGAGCTGCTCAAATCCAGAAGCAATGTGCAGGGAAATGGAGACCCAAGGATGAACAAACTGGAGTTAGACAGAGAAGGATATAAAAAGAGCCAGTCTCATGGGAAATATGGGCAGTCAGTACACATTTGTCTGGCTTGGCCTTGCCCATGATCATCACAGCCTGTCGTATCTTGTTGTATCTTTTCATTACACATTCTCCTAAGTATTGCCATGTAATCTTAACTCTTTACCCCAGGTATGTGTGTTGCACAGAGGAAGTGCTGCCTACAGGTGAGACTGCTTGTGAAGAAGGCAAGAGGGGCTTGGAACCACAGGGGTCCCAAAGAGAGGGACATGCTGGAACTTAAGGGATCTACAAATGGGTCTGTGCTTATAAACCTAGAGATTGTTTTTTGTGTGTGCCTGCACTAGCAACTAGTCCCTGTTTATCTCCAGACTATTCCAATCTCTAAGCAACAAAGCTGAGAAGACAAACAATCCTCAGTTCTGAGGAGAGAAACAACACAGTTCTGCTCCAGAGTATCTGAAAAGAAGTTTAAGTAAGACATTAAAAAGAAGAGGAAGAGAAATTAGGAATACCTCAGCTTTTGCCTTCTTCTCAGCTGCCATCAGCTGCACTTTGTCTCTCTGTTCTTTGGGGGCAGAGCGGTACATATCCAGCAATAGTTTCATCTCCTTCTGGCTCTCCTGGGCCTTCCTGGAGAAAGGGAGACAGACCACAGTGAGAACACAGCAGCAAAGCCATACTGTTACACAGCCAGCACCACAGCCTGGCAATATTCTCTCATCTCCCACAGGATATGGGGTCATCCTTGGGTCATCTTATCCTGGTAACACAAAACAGCAGCTGAATACAGGCTGGAAAAGAAACATGTTTAGGCACAAGGGTTGAAATGCAAGAAGTGGGCTGGAGATGAAATATATATCCTAATAACTACAAACTATCTACCTCTGCTTTGGGAGCCATCCAGAAGTGGGAACACTGTTGTGTCCTCTGTTAATAACCTGCTGCTGTGAACTTATATGCTATTGTTATGACAGCAACAAATCAACATTACTTGACCCACACCATGAAGTGTCTGCTTTGGTAATTCATGCTTTAGGATATTGTAGGAAAAACACTTCTACACTGACCACATCACAATCAGACACAGAGGGCATCAAGAAATTCTCTTGGCTCCAAACTCCAGTGATGCTGATCCTGTAAAAGCAAGAACACCCCAGGCTTGGGCACTGCTCCCACAGGAAAGGGAGAAACAACAACTCTTACTTGAGCTCAGCCTTCAGCTGCTTGATCACTTCAGCCTCCTTCTTTCGTCCATCTTCATGTTTCCCTTTCTCCTTCTCTTTGGACTCTCTCTCCTTCTCTGATTCCTTCTGCTTCTGCTTTTCCCGCTCTCGTTCCTTTTCCTTCTCTTTCTCTTTTTCTCTTTCTCTCTCCTTCTCCTTTTCCTTCTCTCGCTCCCTCTCCCTTTCCCGTCTCTCCCGCTCCCGTTCCTCTTCATCTCGCCTGGCCTTCATCTCATTAACATCTTCAGAAGGAGCCTTGGGAACAGTCACTTGGGCAGAAGGATCATCAGGCTCCTGCTTGATCTCTGCCGGTTCCTCCTTTGTGTCTTCAGTGCTGGACTGGGACTGGAGGAGAGCACTGCCACTGCGAGAGCGGATCTGGTGTGGAACAGCAAGAGAGATGACCAAGAAAACAAAGATTTAAGTTCTTAGCCAGGAGTCTTCCTTAACCCTTTCTCCCTTGTCTTCCCAGATCCATGCTTCCATGCCCCCTTTTCATGGAGCACTACACAGCTACAAAGGAAGAGCCTTCATTTGGTCAAAGGACAGCAGAGTGCAGAGCTCCACAGAAAATTTCACTGCATCCTGCACAGTGTATCAGAAAGGTTGATATTGCTGGCAAGGTGACAGCATTCCCCCTTCTCCTAAGCACCTTCCCCTCTTTTCTGGCACTTCCTGCTGCGTTACCTTGCTCAGGTCAGACTGGGCCTCTCTCAGTTTGCGCTTGTATCTCAGCACCTCTCCCTTCAGCTGGTGGTTATGATTCTGGAGGCTGCTGATGAGGTGGCGCATCTCCCGATTAATGGGGCCTGCAAAAACAGAAACACCTCTGCAACAAACCACACTTCTGTCAACCTTCTTGAGGACTTTCATGGAGATGGAGAACAAGCTAAGTGACAATGACAAAGAACAAAGTAAGAGTATCACCATTCTGCCACATAACAGAGCAGCACAAAACACTTGCAGAAAAAAAGTCATGCCAGTTTTACATGCAATCATAAGTCCTTGCAAATTTACAATCCTTAAGTTCCCACTCAACATTCTTTCTATGCCCAGGATCCTAAGAGAAATGTGTCATGTTACATAAAAAAACAGGATTTAAATGCTACTTCAGAATTTTATTTTTAATTTAGAATTTTATTATTAATTTATTTCTTCTGATGAAATTTAAGAATTACTGCTTTGATATCTAGATTGTCCTAATATACTTGGAAATCAATCCTCCTGCCCCAAGTAATTTTTAATAATGCAAAATACCCTGTCATAAACCAAGTTGTTAGTAAACTGTATCTATTATGCAGCATCTAGGAAGAAGTCAGATAACATGGAACTGGTCTCCCAGTAAAACAGATGAAGAGCTTTGTTTTTTTAGATGAAGTGACCTGCCAGAACAAGTATTTAAGAGTAACAAAGAATCAACCCAAGTGTTCTAGTGCACTCTAGCCCCTAATGGGCATTGGTGGGTAGTGGTGTTTGTTTGTAGGCACAGCAGAACAGCACCATACCTGCTTGCTCATTGGCAGCAAGTGTCTGTTCAAACTCTATCCTCAACATCTCATATTCTTTGCGAACTTGTGCCAGGGTGTCCTCCAGCTGAATCACCTCAGTGCGCAGCTTCTTGTGAAGGCTGACCTCATCCCTCTGAGGAACAAAAAGGAAACAGAACTTGGTGCTTTGAACCTGGAGTATCTCTCACCTCATCAGTATCAGGTACCACAAGAGCCTGAATTAGTGCCAGAAACATCAATTTCCTGAGCATTTGCAGAAGCACACAGACCCAGCAGTGCTGGCTGGTGGCACGACAGAGCTCCCAGGCTGAGGGAGCAGAGTGTTACCTCAATCAGCTCCACCTGGCGCTGGTGCGTGGCGCGGGTGCCGTGGAGCAGTGTGCGGGCCTCGTCAAGGTGTGCCTTCAGCTGGAGACTCTCGTTATACAAAACAGAAAACTGGGACTGCATGCAGCGATATTCCGGGGTCTCCTTCACAGCCTCTTCCACTGCCCGTCGCAGCTCCACCTGGTTGGGACACAAGAAAGTGCCACAAAACCAAAAATTATCGCCTTGCCTTTGCATTTGGTTTCTGTCTCTCAAGACAGAACAGCGAATCAAGCTGCCACAAGCAGACACAAAAGGAGAACTTGAAGAGCATTGCTGTGAAGCAGGTCCAAGTGATATGCTTCAGTACCAATGTTAAGAAGAGTCTGTGTGTCCTGCATGCACTAGGCTGCTTCTCTTGCACAACCACATGACAGAAGTTTTTGACTCTCGAGTCCTGAAATAGTTTCTCTCAAAGATATGAATTTGGAAAACATAATAAATTGTAAACACCAAGATCAATAAAGGTGGACACATGGAAAAGTATGAGAGAACAGAGAAAATGCACATGCAAGTAGGCATTATGTTAGCTTTCTACCAGTAAGACATGACTGACAGAAAGAGAAATTTAAAAAAACCCCAGAGATACAGAACTGAATTCTCCTTATAAAGACAGTTACCAAATGACTGTGACTAGCAGCAAAGAAACAGACACATACATACCTGCATTCAGCTTAAAAGTAATCAGGGGGGAAAAAAGTTGTAAGCTAAAAACCACTTCTCTCTAAACAAACTTGTGGATAAAAAGAATTCAGAGGTGCCTCAAGACAGTTCCCAACATCAGATCTCTGGGTTTAGGTTATCGAGACAGACATTTCTTATAAACTGGCACTGACCCCTAAAATAAAATTTGGATTATTCTCCCTACGATACACTCATCTACCACAGAGCCACAGCTCTCTTGTTACCACTTTTAAAACATCACAAACTCATAAGCTGTTTCCTATCTATCCATCCCCCGCAGTGGGAAAGACAGATGTTCATTGACTCTTTCAAGAGCCTCTCTCCCTACACAAGTTTCCCTGATTGTTTCTGATCTCTGGTTTCCACTTGCACAGGGCATGGGGAAGGTGGAGGAGGGATCACTGATTGCAAAGAGGTGATAACAGTTTTTACCAGACATAGTTAAAATGGATTCAAAGATCAGAACGGGACAGGGACAGGAAACCATTACAATTTCCAACGGTGGCCACAGGGTGTCACCAACGCCCGAGCTGCAAGTGGAGCCACGGACTCGCTGAATTGTACCTGGAGCAAAGCATAACACGGCTAAAGAGCAGGCTCAAAACAGACACTGCCAATGAGGTTTTCTGCAGACACAGCACTGCAGAGCTGAGGGCAGTCCATCCCACAGAACACCTTCATCCTCACACAGCTACAGGTGTCTCACCTTGAGCTTTTCATTCTGTGTTGTTACTTCCTCAAGATCCTGACGTAGTTCCTCCAATTCATTAAGGCGATTCCCAGCAAGCTCTTTATTCTCTTCCAGCTCTGCATTCATCTCCTCAAACTGTTGGGACAAACTGCTTGTAAATCCTACTGTTAATGTGTCTCCTGAGAGTGCTTATGACCTATCTGTTCATGCACTAAGAGTAGTTACGGACTGAGCAGTCAGGTAACTTGACCAAGTGTGACAGAGTCTAAATCCACCACGTGTTTCTTAAGTAGAAAACTCATACACAGACAAAATGGCTTGTCCAGAGTCACCCAGCTTTGTGGCACAGGATCTAAAAATTATCTAAAATATATCTAAATTCTGTTCAAATTGTGGCCCTGGTTCTCACTGACTGTATTCTTCCTCTTGATCACAACCAAGATCCTGACCTCACCTTGCGGGCATTAATGGTGATTGTTCCCCCATAGAGGCTGCTTCCAGCTCCATACACTTTGTAGCCTTTGGAATTTACCTGCAAAAAATGCAAGAAATTTCCTGAAGACGCAGTGAAATGCTGACAAAAGTGATGCAGCAGGTACAAGACCAAAGAAGGAACACTGCAGGTTCACAGCTCTCCCAGCAAAGTCCCAGAGAGGATGTCACACACCCATCCAACACCACCCCCATTCCCAGATTTCCTGGCTTACTCGCTCCAGGACGTCGGCCAGGTGGCGGTTGAGCCTCTGCTCTCTCTTGCGGATCTTGTCAATGTCCCACTGAAGGTCATCAATCATGGTCTCCAGGACAGACACCCGGGATTCTGCTGTCTCCACCCTCTCTTGCAGCTTGGAGAACTGCAATCAAAGGAGTGCTTCAGCCAGCACATTGCATAGAGCCAACTTTTCCTGGTGCTGCTCAGGAGTCATTTTTCTCTTATTCATCGTGTGCTTTTCACCTTTTGCTGTGGTGACAGACTATTCCATGAACTGTCCTGAATTTTACACTGGCTGAATCTCAAGACAGCAACAAAATTAAGACAAAGCTGAAAATGTATAAAGAGCAGGAAGCTGGTAATATCTGGCAGAATACAGAGGCAGCCAACTCCGCTAATTCAAAGGCTTTTTTGGATTTTAATCTTTTCAATCCCTATGCCCATCTACTCTACAGAGCTCAGAGGTCTAATGCTAAGCAAGACCAGCATTAACACAACTTTTAAATGAACTGAAATCTCTCAAACAAATGTTGCTAAAAATGTGACTCTTTTAACAACTGGGATCATACTGTAACTGATATCATTACACTGTCAAACAGCAAGGAATTCAGAATGACAGAGATGTCACCTCAACAGTTCCAGGTGTCTACACAGCCACCTCAGCATCACCTGCCCCCAGTTTCTCCACTCTCCCCTTTCTTTAAAAGTTAAATCCATTCAGCTCACAGACTTGCTTATATCCTTTCCTTTAGTCATGTAACAAGCAAATCAATCTGATTTATACAGAAAATCTATTTACAGCTCTCCACAACAACGACCGTTTTTGGAACTTTCAAACCATGCTCCTCCTGTGCCTCTCCAAGGAAATAAGCTGCCTTCCAATTTATGGGAACCATAAATTATGCTAAGCAGGACCCTAAAGCAGGTTTATTTCTCTTTCCTTTTTATACCTCCTGAGACATGACTCTGTGCTTCTCCTGAAGAACATCAGCCAGTTCCTGCAGCCGTCCATTCTCATGTGACAGGTAGGTATTCAGCTCCACTACTGCTTCTTCCATCAGTGAAATATCTGGGCACAAAGAAAAGGAAATTAATGGAAATCTGGTTTTAATTCCTGAACAGCAAAGAAAGAAATAAGAAAACAGAAAAGGAGATTTCTGGGTCTAAAGTCAGTTTAATTTTCCTCTCCCATGCGTGCTTCCTGAGGGCCTGATCACCATCCACAGAGAGCTCTGACCTGCACTCCATAAGCAAAAGGCTCTGCAGTTTAACAATGCTGCCCATTTCTGACCCGGGGGCCACCCCCTCACACCACAGATCACTTCAGCTGTGTCTGTGCCAGCAACCCAGAGCATATCCTTGGAACCCAGGGACACCAGAATGCTGCTCAAATTCATGTGTATACCTGCTGCAACAGGTGGCCCAGGATGACACACCAGACCAAGACACCATGACACCATGTGAAACCACAGCACCGGGGTGACAGGTGAAACCAGAGCACTTTAGGACAGGCTCACATGGCACCAGCATCACAGCTACTACAGTTGATGACTGCCAGCCAAGGACATCAACACTTCCCTACACCAATGCCAGACTTGGTCACAGCACACAGAAGGCACACCAAGCATAAGCTGATATTCCACCCAAAGTTTCTTCCAAAATATTAAAAATCTAACCATCAGTTCATAATGCTAATTTCACTTCTTCCACTTGCGGTAAGCGTGAAGTTACTTGTAGTAACCTTTTATGTGGTGGCTGAGGACAGCTGGCTGAGAAGGTTCAACTGTTCTCTGACTTCTCAGGCACACAAACACAGTGCTGGCAGAAAGAAGAGGCTTCTTAACCCAACATGGTGGGCAGAGCTCTCAGCATTCAAATACAGAGGTAGATACGATAGAGAGATAGAACTTCTGGCACACGGTCCTTTAGAAGAGGTTTTGATAACAAGAGTTTGGAAAGCCAAACAAATTTATTTTGGAAAATAAATGCACGTGAGAAGGATTAGACCTTAATGTCTACAATGCAGGATCAGGTCTAAGATGAGGGCAGATCAGCATTCCTGAATACCTGCCACCTTGGTCATACCTCCACTATTCAGCTTGTGAGACAGCACATCCACCTTCTCCTGCAGCTTGTCATACATTGTCACAATCTGGGCAACAGCACGGCGGGAGGACTCCACGCGTTCCTGCAGCTGAGATTCTATCTCCTCACTGGTACTGCTGGCTAGAGTGGCCAGAAAGGAGAATGCTGGCTCCAGTCCTTCCCCTGGGAACATAAGGAGATGAAAAAAGTAAGTGTGCTCTAGAAGGTAGCATATCACTGCTCTTTACAATCACAAAAAAAGTCTCTGCCAAGCATTGTCCACAGCTGAAATCCACCTTTCCCACCGTGCCCAAACAGTTGCCTCACCTCGTTCCCTCTCATCTTTGCGCTCCTGATTACTGTCAGAGTCTGGTTCAGGTTCTGGCACCACCAGTGCTTTTCTTTCAGACAAAAGGTCTCCAAGACCTTGGTCCAGGTCAAAGCGTTTAAGGATGATGCGGATATTTTCATCAAACTGAATGACGGAACAGGCAAGGCAAGAGAAGATAAAGAATGGATGTGAACAAAAGGGGTGCGGTGGTGCAGGGGAGACAAGAAAACAGTGCATATGAAGCAGCAAAAGCTGTTACCAACCTGATTCCAGTAGCGGTTGATGATCAGCAGAGAGGCATCGTCGGTGGCCTGCCGACGCTCCAGCTTCTCAATGTGCTCCCGCAGCTCATCTTCGATGGCCTGGCGCTGGTCGAGCATCTCCGCCAGCTTCCGGTTCTTGGTCTGCAGGGCCCGGATGTCCAGCTCCTCCTGGGCACGGCACATGGCACACAGGCCAGGTTACAGAAGGGCTCATCCTGACCCAGAGACATTTCTGCCTCCAGATTAAAAAAACCAAAAGGTGGACTGGGGGTAGGCAAGGAAGACATACCGTTGAAGAAACACCACCAAGTTTAATAGTCTCGACAGTGGTGCCTGAATCTTCAACCCCTGCCTTCTTCTCTGGAGGTGCAGAAGGACCAGGCTCTCCAGCCATCCGTTTATTGCCAATCCCAGACATGGTGGCTGAAGTGTATAGATTCCCACCTTCTCCAACCTCTTCCTGAACATTAAAGAAAACTATTAAAAAACACCAAATGCACATCCATGAGGTCAATTTGATTTGGGGTTTTTAACGAGCTGACCCATCAGAGTAACAAAATGCTCAAAACAGCAAAGATCACGGGACCAGAAAGATTTTGAAAAATATTTGTTGGGAGGAATGGATTAAAAGTGGAAGACTGGTAAGGAGGACTGTAAAGCACTCAAGTGACCTCGCAGCTGGGAATAACCCTTGACAAGGCAGGGATCCTCTGGCACTAGCTGAGTTTAAGGGTGACAACATCTCTAATACTGCACCTCTGCCCAGGTGCTGCTTTGGGGCCCCACAAGGAGCAAGGTAACAGAAACAAATCTACTCATTGTGCTCTGACTGGGAGTTTGTGCCAGCCTGTGCTGACTCACACATTCTGGTCCAACATCAGCAGTAAGACACCAGCAGGATCTGCACTGCAAGCAAAAGGTTCATGAGGAAAATATCCACTGCTCTGTAACATTAAAATAGAAGCACTGTACCTTAGCACCCTCTTTGCAAAAAAATCTTCATCCAGGTTCACTCTCTGCTTTTCTGCATTAACAGAAATGAACCAGGTTAGACTTTGGCAAACAAAGTGTATATGTGTATATGTGTAGATGTATATGTGTATATGTGAGACAGTGTATATGTGCACCAGTTCACTGCACAACAACAAACTGTTCCTATCGAATCTACACACAAAGCCAGCCAAAGCTGAGGGCAGCAACATCCTGGAAATAAATGAGCCATGTACATAGAGAGCTCAGAAATCCTATGGAACTGAAAAGCAACTCGGAGCCAAGGCTTGTAAAGACCCATTCCAAGAGTTTTGCTGTGTACCAGGAGAGATGCAAACATGTTTGAAGAGAACCTATCCCTAACTCAAAGCAGTCTGAAAAGCTCTGGACTAATAGAGAATCACAGAACAGCTGGGGCTGCAAGGGAGGACTGGACATCACCTGCCCTGTGCTCCTGCATGAAGCAGGCTCAGTCAAAGCAGGTTGCCAAGGGCCCTGTCCAGGCAGCCTGAGCATCTCCAGGCACAGAAACTCAGCCACGGCTCTGGGCAGCCTCTCTAGTGCTTGATCATCCTCAACATTAAAACAGGATTTTCTCATGTCTGAACAGTATTTCCTGTAGTTCCCTAAAATATTATTGAGCAAAGCTACAAGAATCTCCTCAAAGACTTTGCAAAATGAATGAGCAGCTGGAGATGAAAAATGGAACCAATCAGATCTTCACTAGATGTGAGCTGCATTCTTCTCCCACAGCCACTGCGGCTGTGTCAGACTGAAGAAACCAGAAGTGAATAAATTGCAGATCATACAAGTAAAACCTGACTTCCATTTAAGCCTATTATGGCATTTACAGTCAAACTAGGGGTTAGAAACTGAACCTTCCAGTTCTTATCTGCTTTAATTGAGCAGTTCTACTGAAAGCAACAAGGCTATTGCCATTTGAACATGAAGCTGGTACATTCCTTTGCCAAATCTCAGCATTTCACAAGCATCTCAGCTTGGCATTGCCCTTCATTGTATGCAAAATAGGGTAAAGATTATTTCTAAGTGTGTTACTGAAACAGCACATATGGGGATCCTGCGAGGTATCTTTTAACAGAAACATTAAATTACATCTCAAATTTACCAAGAAAGAGAACTGCCACTGAACCATTTTCTTTCTCTTAGCAGCAGCACTGACTTCAGCTGGAATTCTGAAAGGGAACAGCTGTTGCTAAAAACATCTCATCTGTCCCCTGTCAGTCCAGCAAGCCATCACTGTCCGCTGCCTTTCACACTTTTTGTACTGGGACAACATACCCCTTCCACTGCATCCTGGCACCATTCCCCTCAGCTCCATCTCCCCTCTCACCACCTCCTCACACACTGTACACCAGACCCTAACCCATCAATTTTTTATGGCCTCTCTTTCACAGAATCACAGAATCATTTAAAATGGGAAAAACCTCTGAGATCGAGTCCAACCTATGAACCAACATCACCCTGTTAGCCACACCATGGCACTAGGTGCCACATCCAGCCACGGACACGAACTCCAGCACCTCCCTGGTGGGCAGCCCCTTCCAGTGCCTGCAATCCTTTCTGCTGCTCACAGAACAACAGGAATAAAAGCACTGGACAGATTTAAAAACTGCTATTTGAGTTTATACTTCCCAGCAGGAACTCCAGTCAAACAATGACCCATCCACGAGCCTAATAGGGATTTTTCCATGGCTTCAGGTCAGGCTCTGCAGGAATACTTTAAGCATTGGAGGAGAAAGGGGAAAACTCCCAATCCTCTGCTCTGCCTGGCCCTAACATAGCATGGATGGCATGCTGTGTCCAGTTCTGGACTCCTCAGTACAAAGACAAGGAGCTGCTGGAAAGGATCCAGTGGCAGCCATAAAGATGATGAGGGCTCTGGAGCATCTGTCTTATAAAAAAATCTGGGTCAGGTTTGTCTGGAGAATACTGGGAGAGGATCTCATTTATGCACACAATTATTTCCAAGAGGGTGGTCCAGACTCTTCAGTGCTACCCACCAACAGGATGAGGAGCAGCGGCGATAAACTAAAACCCAAGAAGTTCCACTTCAGCATGAGGAAAAACAATGAGGGTGGCAGAGCACTGGAACAGTTTCCCACGAACGTCGTGGACTCTCCCCCTTTGGAGACATCCCAAACCCACCTGGATGTATTCCTCTGTCACCTGCTCCAGGTGACTTTGCCTTGGCAGGGGAGATGCACAGGGTGATCTCAACCCGACCGGTTCTTAATCAATTCTGTGATTCAATTTCCCACACACACCAGCCGCTCCCACACCTCCTCCGCTCTCCCACATCCCGCAAGGGTCCTGCTCCTGTCCCCGGCATCTTCCCACAGCACCAGCCAGACACGCCGCGGGCCCGTCCCTCCCTCCACGGGTGTGCGCTGCCTCCAGCCCCCAGTGACCCCTCCGTCCTTCACACGGCCACCTCCCAGCTCTCCCTGGCCCCAGGCCGCCCCACAGACCCGCCACGGCCGCCTCGTCGCTGCTGTTGCCGCCGCCTACTCCGCCGCCGCCTACTCCGCCGCCGCCGCCGCCGCCGCGCCCCGTCGTGCCGGCAATGGCCGCCACCGGCCGCCCCTTCCGGCCGCCATTTCGCCCTCACCCGTCATGGAGGCGCCGCTTTGCCCTCGCCCGACATGGCGGGGCTGCAGCGGCACCAGACGCCGGTGCCCTCACCCGCACCAAAGATGGCGGCGCGGGCGGAGCCGCCCCCGCCCACACGCGGCCCCAGCGGAGCGGCCGCGTCTCTGCCCGCCCCCAGATGGAGCCGCGTCCCGGCCGGAGCGGGCCGGAAGGCGTTCAGCGCTGCTTGATGTGGGCTAAACGTTCAGTGTCTGCCATGGTGGGGCAGCAGGGTCGGAGCAGTGATTGTCTCCCTGCAGTCGGCACTGGAGAGGCCACGCCCTTGCTGCTGTCCAGTAGCGAGAATGTTCTGCTTTCCTCCCTGTTTGAAGATTAACTGTGTGAATTGTGCAGAGACAACACAGCAGATGAGGGAAAAAAAATACAAGAAAAAAATCTGAGTGGTAAGGAGAGAACGAGAGGGATTAATAATACTTGTATTAACACTTGAGATACTTTTGTGAAGAAGATGGGAGAGCCAAGCAATCCAATGTCAGTGCAGAGCAACTGCAGAGAAAGTCTTGCAGCAATTTGCAATTACTTAGCGTCAGGAGTGTGACAAATATGGCTGCTTTTTCCTGAACCTTGCAGTCCTTCACTTGCAATTGCTACAAGAAAGAGTTGAGCATGTCACAAAGTTACAGTTGGTTAAGAATTGGCATGACTGAAGCAGAGTGTTTCTTGGAAAGGACATGCTGGGGTCGGCTGTTACTTGTCTCTGCCCCAGCACGGGAAAAGGTGGTTTCTGGGCTGGCCGTGCTCTCGAAGAAGGAGTCTGGACTCTCGCTTTTCGGTCTTCAGTTGAGGTTGTTGTTCCACGCACATGTTCTTAGCATAAGCAGAGGGGAGCCTGGTGTGAAGAAACCACCAAAGACCCAGAGATGAACTGAATTAAAAAATGTTGTGTAAGGAACAGCCTAGAGAGGAGACAATTTTGAGCTTGCAGTGTTGGTGTGCTCAGGCTGTGGCCACTTGGAGACTTGGATGGACTGAATCTCCTGTAAAGGAGAAATGCACAGCCTTGTGACCAGGATTGTGCTGAGCATCACCCATTACCTGTTCCAAACCTCTATTCCAAACTAAAAGGACCTACAAGACCTCAAGTATTGTCTCTCCCTCAAACTGTAAGAGCTGTAGCATCCATCAATTTTCTGTGAAAGCCCAACACATCCTCTTTGGTAAGGTGGGAGGTGGAGACACAGCACTGTGATTTACTCACATATTACCCAGATGTGTCTGCAGATATGCAGGTAAATTTGGAGCTTTGGCACGCCCAGGAAAGTACCTAAAGTGATCTTTGATCCAGCAGAACTGTGCTGCTTCCAAGAGGAAAGGCCCTATGGGAGATGGTGTGGGAGCTGATCTCTCTCCCACCTGTTGGTGAACCTGAGGCCGTGGTGAGCAGAAGGCTCTGACCTGGAGGGCAGATGGAAATCCTCTCTTTTGTGAGAAGAATTGTGTGCCTGGAGTCTGCTGAGGAAATAGCAGAGCACAGATTCCTCCCAAAGGTGGGAACAGAAGAGCTGTGGCAAATCAGCTCCAGGTGCTGTCAGTAGCAGATGAAGAAAGGGATTGCAGGTTGCACACTCAAGGAGAGAGGTTGGACAAATGGGCCCAAGAACACCAGAAGCAGCCAGCCTAAGATCAGAAAGTGGAAAAGCCACATCTTCAGGCAACCAGTGCCTGAGCAAAGCAAAATAGTACCCAAAACACTCACAGCAGACTAACCGCCCTAAAAGAGATAACCAGATTCCAAATTCAGTGGCGCAAAGCCCTGTGCATTAATATTTCTGTGGTAAAGGTATATTTTTGTGTCAGCACACAAATCAGCCTTTCATTTCCTAGGTTGTTGACTGGAACCACAGCAGTTGCTTTGTGATAACGCAGTGCCAGGCACCAGAGGAGTGCAGGTATGAAACACAGCCCTCAGTGTGTCCTGTGGCAGCTGGCACATCTGTTCAGTGCCTTCTAGATCAGATCACAGAGGTGAAGTAAAGGAAGGAAAAGTCTCAGAAAGAAAAAAAGAAAAAGGAAAAAATAGAAAATGCATATTAGTGGAACATACTTCCATATAAAAGTACCACACCTGTCATATGTGTGTATAGGTCTTTGACTTCAAAGCAAATGTAGCTCTCTTCCTAAAAACAATTACAATAGATAAATAAATAGGATGAAAGGCTTCTACTGAGTTTCTTAACCCCCTTAATTTCCTTGTACACTGGCTACAGACAAGGTGATTCTATCTTGTTCTGCTATTTTGATCATTGGTGCTTTGAAGCAAAAATAGAAACACCAGTGTCTTAAAAGACATCCCTTTCTTAACCGCTGATTTGTGCAAGAGGCACTTTCATGTCACCAAAGTGTAATAAGCAACAACAAGATTAATTTTAAAAGCTGACCTTTGAAGCACAAAGCTTCAGTCCTTGCTCAAAATTTTGTCCTTGAGGTTTGTTCCGGTGTCCCCTCCTCTTGGCATGACTTTATCCTTACCTCATTGTAAGGTAAGGATAAAGCACATCATTTTAGCTAAGGTTGTACTCTCAAAATAGATTTTGTGTTTTCCTCTCAGGTATTGGGAAGTAGACAATGTTGTTGCTGTGGGCATGAGATGGAATGAAGGGTGGTGCTGCAGGGTGCTGTGCTAGGTACATTAGCTAGGGCCAACAGTGGAACTGTATTTGGTAAGACAGTAACTTTACCTAATGAATATCCACCCAGAGCAGTGTACATCAGATCACACAGAAATGTATCACTCCACAGCATCCTTGATCTAGCCAACAGTTGTTGTTGACGTTATTTAGGATGTTATAATTCTCTTGACAGACAAGCTGACTAAAGAAAATGAACACACATAAAGCTGTAGCCAATGCAGTTGAACTGAGTTCTTGCTTTTCCTTTCACAGAAATTGCACTACTTTTTCTTCTATTAGCATTACTGTTGTTGTTGTTGTTATTATTATTATTATTATTATTATTATTATTATTATTATTATTATTATTATTATTATTATTATTATTAGATGGTTACTCTTAGCTAAGTAGCATAGTAGGATACTTACGACTCACATCTGGGAAGAGAGACACTGATCACATTTTGCCCAGGTGTAGGAAAGAAATTCCATTGTCACCTGACCAGAAGGGACTTGGAGAGAAATGTTTCAGATGCTTATATATGCTGCACAAAAATTCTCACTTACTTTTGTTTTGTCATGTTCCTTCTCTAGTTGTCTTCCTCCTGTAGAGGAAGACAACTAGATGCTAAATGGAGAATATGTGTGTGAATTGAAGGAGCTCTCTCACTCCACTGACACCCAGAACATCCTGGCAGGCAATCTAAAAAAGACAGAATGAAAGATTCCAGTCAGTGAGAAACCCAGGCTGGGAAGCCTCAGCAGGGATTATTAGCGATTGCCTTGCTGCCTCACTGCCCAGCTGCCGTAGTGATCAGGAGAAATGAAGAGGCCTTATTATTATTATTATTATTATTATTATTATTATTATTATTATTATTATTATTATTATTATTATTATTATTATTATTATTATTATTATTATTATATGGTTACTCTTAGCTAAGTAGCATAGTAGGATACTTACGACTCACATCTGGGAAGAGAGACACTGATCACATTTTGCCCAGGTGTAGGAAAGAAATTCCATTGTCACCTGACCAGAAGGGACTTGGAGAGAAATGTTTCAGATGCTTATATATGCTGCACAAAAATTCTCACTTACTTTTGTTTTGTCATGTTCCTTCTCTAGTTGTCTTCCTCCTGCAGAGAAACACTTGATGCTAAATGGAGAATATGTGTGTGAATTGAAGGAGCTCTCTCACTCCACTGACACCCAGAACATCCTGGCAGGCAATCTAAAAAAGACAGAATGAAAGATTCCAGTCAGTGAGAAACCCAGGCTGGGAAGCCTCAGCAGGGATTATTAGCGATTGCCTTGCTGCCTCACTGCCCAGCTGCCGTAGTGATCAGGAGAAATGAAGAGGCCAGGAAATGGAGCACAGGCTTTACTGTCTTCTTCCCTTCCCCTCACTCACTCTCACTATTTTTTTTTCCCCCTGGCACTACACCTGGTGGTGCTGGAACCACCTTACTTTGCTGTCTGTGCAGAGGTTTCCTGTGTGCAAATATTCCTGGAAATAGTGATATGAAGAGTTTTCCTGAAAAGGAGCTTATCTCTATTATCCATAGCTATCTAATTGAAGTAGCTGCACTTGAATTTTAAAGAGATAGTCTTCAGAAATTACTTTGTATCCTAGTAAGCTCTTTACTGGCACATTAAGATACCTAAAAAAGAAAGTGAGCTTTTTATTGTAAGCATTTTTCACAAAAGAAAGTGAGCTTTTTATTGTAAGCATTTTTTTTTCAGTAAGCTGAAAATATTAATTACTCAGCAATGAAAATTACTGAATTTTCAGAATAAATGCTAGAGAAATCACTTGCATCTTTACACTAGCCAACATAACTCCTGCCATTAAAGCAGGTTTTCCTTCTAGATCCTGGACTAATTATGGTCTTTCATGTCTTTCTTCAAGTAAGGCAGGTGCCCCTAATTGGCTTCCCAGGACTTGTCTAAATTTATATATTGAAAGAAAAATAAATTAACCTGAATGAATTAAAAATCTAAACTAGGAGTAAACTATTTTAGTCTCTGTGTTACGTTCACTATTACATGGAATGAAAAAGGTTACACAAAACACCATTCAGCTAAACTGAATTAAAAAACCTCTTAAACTTCAAACAGTGCTGCCCCTTAGAGATTTGAAGCAGTTTTAAAATAGTTATAATTTGGTCCAATTTTCCTGAGAATCTTTGTGGAGTTAAAACTTGTACAAGTGGTATTCAGACTTTCCTAGACAGGCCATTTCCCTCATTCCAGCATCTGACCTTTAGTTCCAGAAGTGCTCACCTAAAATTTGCAGTGAGAGAGAGCAGAGAAA